CCCCAGTGAGGTATAATGCCACAGAACCCACTCTCCAAAGCTGTTGTTTTCTCCAGGGGAACTGATCTCTGTACTCCAAAGATGAGCTGTAATTCCAGGGATCCCCAGGTCTCACCCGGAGACTGGCATCCCTAGTTGCCAAGCAGGATAGATGACAAGCAATGTTCCCTCTAAGCTGTGGAGTCTTGTGAGCAAAAATTCTACTTTGTGAGCGACTTGCATTAAAGTTGTGAGTGAGCAATTTGGCTCCTGCATAAGTTAGTTTGTTCTGGAGCCATCCTTCCTGAGCTAGGTCAAAAATGTGTGAGCCGGAGGCTAAAAAAACTCTGAGCTAGCTCACGCTAACTCAGCTTAGAGGGAACACTGATGACAAGTTGAGACTGAAAAATAAAGGGGTGGGGGAGAGAAATTAGAAGTGAGGATAGATGAATGGTGGATCATGAAACGAAGAGAGCAAAATGAAGGCGGAGAGAAGTGTGGGGAAAAGTTAGAGAAATAGAGGAGAAGACGATGAAAGGGGTTGGGGGGGTTGCTACAGGACTGCCCCTTTGCAAGATCGGGCTGTGCTAAAGAAAGAGGGGAACCATGGGTAAATGACCTGGTGAGGAGGAGTCTCTGCATCCCGGGAACGACTAGCTTGTCCTGGCTGCTCCTGCCTTGCTCCAGTTGTTTTGGCAGGACCTGATCACCAAATGGTTTCCCTCAGCCTGGTAGAGAACTTTGCAGAAAGGCCGTGCCTTCCCCGCCTCCCCAGTGGCTGCAGTCAGAACTGCCTTAGGAATAGTTTTTAAAATACATTGAGTGAATACAGAATGATGCTGGCTTCACCTGACTCCCCCCCCCCTCCAAAAAAACCTTTGTCCCCCCCAGCCCCATCTTTGCAGCCCTGTCTGCACCCTTGACAGCTGGGAGTGTTCTTGGGGAGGGGGGGCAGCGAATCAGGGACGACAACGAAAGAGCCCCTCTTCCATGGGCCTTCACAGCAGTGGGGAGTGGCTGTGAGACCTTCCTACCTTTACTGCTCCCTTCATAAGGAAAGCCGCCAGGTTGGCTCTCTCGCCTCTTAGAAAATGTGGGGCCTGTTGTGACGGCCTCCAACTCCCAGGAGGAGATGGGCTTCATTACACCACATATTTGCTCAGATTCATGGTCTCTTGGAGGAGGAGGTGGGCACCCGGGTTCATCCACCCTCCTAGAGAAAACTAGGCCATGACTAGCCGTTCTGGTGCTACTGGGTTCTTTCCTGGACATTCCTTCCAGGTAGAAAAGAGAATGGGGGAAACCTCCCGTATAGTTTCATCAAGCTGAGCTAGAATGCCCCTAAAAGGACAGACCATTGAGACCCCTGCCCGGCAATGCTTCAGGGCCTCAAGTAGAGTGGGCAGCAGGGAAGAAGCGTGCCAATCAGAAGCCAGCCGAACTCCTGGAAAAAACACACACTCCCCCCAGCTTCTTCTACCTCCTCCCTGCCCATTTATTAACATTTCTGCTTAGGATGAGGAGATTTAGAAGAAAAACATTCCTCCCCAAAAGCCTCTGTGTCAAATATATCGACCTACATTCCCCTCCTCCCCAGAATATGTAAATCCATTTAACCCTGAGGCTTCTGGGGGAATTTGGTTCCAGCCTCCTCAGTATAAACAGAAATGGTAAGGAAAATAAGAGAACTGGGAAGAAAAAAAACCAAGTAAAGCTTTTCAGCTTTTTTGTGTGGGGAGGTTTGTGGACCCAGTTTGATATACTTTGGGTTCCTTAGGTTTGATAGATTTGGAGATACTCTTGGAGTGCCCTCCACTGTCCATCCCTTTAAAAGTTTGCCTTTGGGGGTGGGGTGTTGGCTTTCTTACCTACATCTAAGCTAAGAGCTGTACTCTGTTCCTTCCCGTGGAATGTCCCTTCCAGGTCGAACCAGGAGATTTCTTTGGGTGATCCATTCTTTCCAGCCAGCTAGGGGATACTCGACAGGAGCTGCGGTGGCTCAAGTGGTTAAGACGCTGAACTGCAGGCTGTGGAAGGTCGGTAGTTCAGCAGTTCAAGACCCGAGTGCCGCATGACGGAGTGAGCTCCCGTCTCTAGTTCCAGCTCCTGCCAACCTAGCAGTTCGAAAGCAAGAAATTGCAAGTAGATAAATAGGTACCACTTTGGTGGGAAGGTAACAGCGTTCCGTGCACCTTGGTGTTTAGTCATGCCGGCCACGTGACCACGGAAACGTCTTCGGACAGCGCTGGCTCTTCGGCTTGGAAACGGAGATGAGCACCGCAACCCTAGAGTCGGACTCGACTGGCTTTCGAGCAAGGGAACCTTTACCTTTACCTTTAGGGGATACTCAGGGGGTTGTGACGGGTTTTCCTTGGACCCCCAGGGACCCAGCAGCCACCCAACTACTCGTCCTGGATAAGCCTAACAAAACAAAAATCTAGCTACACCTTAAAGATTCATAACATTTGTTTCAATATGAGCTTTTTTGGGGGGGTCACGGCCTACTTCTTCAAATAGATATGCAATGGGGAGAAAATGGTATGTGGGGGGCAGGTAGGAGGAAGGATTCAAGGCGTGGTGTCTTTTTGCCCCAGCCTGCCCACAAATTCCAGTACTGCCTTTTGCACTCTCTTGTTGACTATAAAGGCCACACCATTTTTTCTACAGGATTCCTGGCCACAGTAGTAGATATGATGGTCTTCTGAGTTAAATTCGCCCATTCCTGTCCACTTAAGTTCACTGATTCCTAAGATATCGATGTTCAGTCTTGCCATCTCATTATTGACCACGTCAAGCTTACCTTGATTCATAGATCTTACATTCCAGGCTCCTATGCAGTATTGTTCTTTGCAGCATCGGACTTTCCTTTCACCATCAGACACATCCACAACTGAGCGTCCTTTCGGCTTTGGCCCAGCCGCTTCACTCTTTCTGGGGTTACTTGTACTTGCCCTCTGCTCTTCCCCAGTAGCATATTGGACACCTTCCGACCTGAGGGGCTCATCTTCCGGCGTCATATCTTTTAGCCTTTTGATACTGTCCATGGGGTTTTCTTGGCAAAAAGACAGTGTCATAGACGCAACGAACATGAAATTGAGCCAACTTCAGAGGACGGCGGAAAACAGGAGGGCCTGGCGAGATCTTGTCCATGGGGTCGCAAAGAGTCGGACTCGACTGTGCGACTGAACAACAACTGCCCACAAACATTCTCTGGTACAATTTGTCATTACACCTCTATCTGAAGAAGTGGACTGTGACTGAGGGAATCTGGCACTGTTTGAAACAAATGCACAATCAAAGCTTGAGTCAAGTGGCACCTTTAAGACCAACAAAGTTTAATTCTGGGTATAAGCTTGCTTCAGACCAGCACAGCTACCCACCTGAAACAAATGTTGTTAGTCTTTAAGGTGCCACTGGGCTTCCGTTTGTTTGTGCTATGAAAGTCTAACATGGCTACGGTTTGCAATCATCTTGGATAAGTCTGTCTCTCTGTGTCACGGGGCTTGGGCTTAGAAGGGTGTATTATACAGGTTCTGCCTTCTATTTATTACGTACAACTTTGAATGAATCTAACTCTGTTTCAGCATAGTATTGCTAGTGTTTAGTATTACACTGTTTGTAATCATTCAGCTTCATATGTATTGTGTGTATGGTTCTTTGCTTAAAAACTAATTTTAAAATGTTAATCGCAAAAAAAAAAGGGTGTACGTCTGTTTAAGATTGCAATGTTAACACAGGGGTGGGGGCTGCAGAGGAAACAGAAAGGTCCACTTTCAGGAGCAGGAAGAAAGTATACCAACCTCAGACTCATTCCCATATCCCACTACATGTACTGGGGTCCCCTCTGGGGAGGAAAATGGGTATAAATAAAGACATCAGTGGCATTCTAAGCAGAGTCGAAAGAAGAAGAAGAGGAGGAGGAGGAGATTGGATTTATACCCCGCCCTTCACTACCCAAAGGTGTCTCAGAGCGGCTTACAAACTCCTTGCCCTTCCCCTCCCCACCACAGACACCCTGTGAGGTAGGTGGGGCTGAGAAAGCTCTTGACAGAAACTGCTCTTTTTCAAGAACAGCTCTTATCAGAACTACGGCTTGCCCAAGGTCATCCAGCAGGTGCAAGTGGAGGAGTGGGGAATCAAATCCGGTTCTCACAGATTAGAGTCCGCGCACTTAACCATGACACCAAACTGGTTCTCTCTTCACTTCATTCACTGAGTGAAGTGAATGAGCTTAGAAGAGAGTAACTCTGTTTAGGATGGCACTGAAAGACATAGTACCAGTTCATACATGAAATCCAGGTGTCATGCCAGGATCTGATAGTACAACTTGAAATAGATATCTGACAGATATTGCCTTGTGGCACCTAGTTCTTACTAAAAATATATATCTTTATACTTTTCTAGGGTGATGCATATTTGTTTAAAAAAATCTATTGTATCTCCTCCGGGCTTTGAGTGACTTGCCCAAATAATGGTTTGCGCAGGAAATAATTATATATATCCTGTTCTTTGATTTCCTCATATGGCAGATCTGATTCATTCAGTGCACTAGTGCAAGGAACATATTGCAACATTGCCGTGGCCTGTTTTTCTGTCCTTTATTAATCCAGAAACCTTAATGATGAACAACACTTGTGTCATTGTCTACACAAATGTAATTTGTTTATGCAGGAGTTCAGTTAATCCTGCCATCTGCTTTTCTCAAATGAGGACAGATAATGGAGACACAGTTCCTCACAGGTCTTCAGGCTTTTAAATTCTGATAAAATCAGGATTCTTCACTGGCTCTTGCCACGGCCCTGAATTAAGCCACTTTAAATGTAATTACTGAAGCTGGCTGTACATCAGGAACATCCATTAAAAGAATTGATTGACCATGCTGTTATGGGAGGCATTTTATGAACAAACTATCCTGATGGGTCCAGAACCGTAATTTATGAGAGCAAAAAAGCAGGTAAATACTTTATTAGTGGTTAATGAGAAGCTCTCTGGGTAACTAAATTGCTTCTTTTTTTAATCAGCTACTTGAAGGAACCTTGGGCCTTGGTCATCTATCACGATCGCTTTATTGATCTGAAGAAAGAACTGCGCAAGATCCTGGTATCTATCCAGGTAAAGGAAATGACCACCAGGTGCATTTTATCAGGTGGATGCCATGTGACTTCACTGTTGCAAGTTGTTTTAGGAGTCTCCTTTCAGCTTCCACTTTAAATGCCCTAATCCTGAATTCTGGCCCCGGTCACACGGAGCATTAGGCACGCTAGAGAGACGGAAGATAGGCGGATTTTCCGGGCGCGATCTCACCGCCACATCTGGGAAGCGTAGAGCTCCCGTGGCTCACCCGAGGCTTCCCGCCGAAGACGCGCGATAAAAAACTAGTACCTCGGAGGTACTAGTTTCCGGAAACCGCGGGGCAAGGGCGGGCGTCAGATCACGTTTCCAGTGGTAGCTCGTGGCATCCGGTGCCCGCCCATGTCCCGTCGCGAAAAGGTTTTTTTTGGTCAAGTCTCCATGGGTGCGCACAAGCACCCAACGGCGCATGCGAACACTTGGGTTTAAAAAAACAACACAACCCCCACGGCGGCGCTTCTTTGCCGCGCCGCAGGAGTGAGGTATTATCAGCACCTCCCCCCAACCACGGGACGTCGGGCAGGACGTTTGATCCGGCTGCTGCGCAGTAGTTCGCTCTGGGGCAAACAGCCACGCCTCCCCCCCGCGATATCCAGCCCGTGTGACCAGGGCCCCTATTATTGATGGAAATTTGACATGATCCAGGGCATCGGCTGTAGACTTTGGAAAGAATACTCGAGAATCACATCTAGAATTCCTATTTTATTTCTAACACTTGGCCTTGTGGACAAGACACATCACTTAATTAGATTCTAGTGCATGAAACAGTTGTAACCGGTAAGCTTACTGGTGCAACGGTTTCACATTTTAAGGGCTATGTGAAGCCTGTTGATTTCTATTGGCGCTCTGCAAAAGCTAGCGAGCAGAGTCCGTAATGCAAATGTATAATCTTTATTCCCTTCGGCGTACTTCGGGCCAGACCCGACATGATGCAGGTAACGGATCTCCATTGGTTTTAAAAGGTGAGCTGCATGCATGCTCAACCCCAATTTGAATTGGGCCTGCACAGGAAGGAGAAAAGGGGCTTAACTATCACACAGATGAAACGGTGCCCCCTGCTCCAGCCATGCCCTTAGTATTTTCAAAGGGAAAAAACCAGGCATTGAAAGGGCCTGTCTTTTTCCTAGTGAAGCTACTAATAACAGCAGCAGAGGCTGGTTAGCTAAACTACATGAACTCCTCCTCCACGTGGCCCCCATCTGAACTGAGGTCCTGTGATCACGCCATTCAGTTTTTTGAAGATGAATAATGATCTGTGACCTTCACCACATCTCTTTTGAGCCTTGGTTGTACAAAACCATTTCTTTCTAAAAGCACAAATCTCTGTCCAAGGAGTATTGGGCAGATCTGAATCATTCTTGTGTGTGTGTGTGAAGTCCTGTCAAGTCTCAGCCGACTTATGGCAAGCCTCTAGGATTCTCAAGGCAAGTGAGATGCAGTGCTTGGTTGCCGCTGCCTGTCTCTGTAACGTCTCCCTCGGTGGTCTCCCAGCCAAGTGCCGACCTTGCTTAGCTTCCGAGATCTGACAAGATCGAGCTGTGCTATACCGTTCCACATCTCTGAATTATTCTTGCATGCATTTTATAATCCACAGTGGTGCTAACTGTGCATCATGCCCCCACCGAAAAGCGAAGACATTAGGTTAAATATTGCAGATCTGAATTATTCTCTCACATAGAATTAGGGCTATTTTGGAGCAGGAACGCAGAGGAACGGAGTTCCGGCTGGCTCCCAAGTTGGCCACGCCCAGCTGGAACTCATTAGCATAATAGGCCACACCCAACAGCAGAAACTCATTAGGATTGGCTACATTAGGGCTGCGTGGCCTAACATGCAAAGGAGTTCCTGCTACAAAAAAAGCCCTGGGTTTTGACAACAAACAAGGTCAACAGAATAAGAAGCAAAAGGTGGGTGTGGCTGGATGACCACACTTCTGGTAACGGGGGGTGTGGCCTAATGTGCTAATGAGCTTTGCTGTCGGGTGTGGCCTAATATGCTAATGATTTCTTGCTGTTGGGTGTGGCCTATTCTGCTAATGAGTTCCCGCTGGGCTTTTTCTACAAAAAGAGCCCTGCATAGAATGAATATGTTTTTCCACTCCTACCTTAATTACGTGTCATTTTGGTCATCCAGGCACTGTTCGTTTGTTTGTTTGAACCATGCTGGGACCTTTGCGCAGTGTTTGCCCATGATCCACAGCTGGGTTTATTGTCCATCACCTTGAGCATCCAGTCGCTGCTATTTCTCTTCTTTTTATGCATCAGACAATACTGTTCTAGAACAACATTGCTTTTCCCCTGTCCCTGTTCTCCCCCCCCCCAACCCACACATTCCAAATTTTCAGCGGGGGGGCAGGGCTATTTTTGGGCAGGAACGCACAGGAACGGAGTTCCGGCTGGCTTCCAAGTTGGCCACACCCAGCAGGAACCCATTAGCATAATAGGCCACACCCAACAGCAGAAACGCATTAGGACTGGCTACATTAGGGGTGTGTGGCCCAACATGCAAAGGAGTTCCTGCTACAAAAAAGCCATGGGTAAACAGAATAAGAAGCAAAAGGTGGGTGTGGCTGGATGACCACACTTCTGGTAACATGGGGGTGTGGCCTAATGTGCCAATGAGCTGTGCAGTCAGGGGTGTGGCCTAATATGCTAATGAGTTCCTGCTGTTGGGTGTGGGCTATTCTGTTAGGGAGTTCCTGCTGGGCTTTTTCTACAAAAAAAGCCCTGGGGGGGGGGGAATGCCACAGAGGGAACCCTTGTCAAAATGTGGCCGTTAGCTCTTAGCCTGGAAGATGGCATTCTTAGTCACCATCACTTCAGCCAAGTAGATTGGGGAATTCCTGGCACTGTGATGTGGCCCACCTTATCTCTGCTTCCACAAAGCAGGGGTTTTGTTTGCCACCTGACATAGATTTCTTGTCCAAGGTAGTGTTGGAATTCCATCTACATACTGACATCACCCCAAAGATGATACTGAGAGATGTTTCCACTCTTTGGATGTCCGGAGGGGCTCTCTTGTTCTACCTAGATAGGATGAGAGTCTTTCGTTAAAAACACACAACTCTTCATCTCCGATGTGTCGCTAAATAGTAACGGCAAAGGTCTCCCTTGCTCAAAAGCCAGTCGAGTCCGACTCTAGGGTTGCGGTGCTCATCTCCGTTTCCAAGCCGAAGAGCCAGCGCTGTCCGAAGACTTCTCCGTGGTCATGTGGCCGGCATTACTAAACACCAAGGCGCACGGAACGCTGTGACCTTCCCACCGAAGTGGTACCTATTTATCTACTTGCAATTTCTTGCTTTCGAACTGCTAGTAAGTGAAGGTAAATCAAGAGCTAAATTTAAAATAAAACAAAGGAATAAAAGAAGAGGCAGTGTTTGTGGACTGTAATTGTAATGGACGGGAAGAGGAGCCATAAAATGCTAAAACACTTTGACACTTTCATCCCAATCAAACTCCTAGATCAGGGAGAAAATTCCCGGGCTTCTTACAGCTAAAGAACATTGGTTACATGAGAAACTGTTGGGTATTACAAGTTAAATACACTTCAGTATATCTGGGGTTAAATGTTTGTTTGTGTTGTCACAGGAAGTCACATGTGTTTCATGTAACCAATGTTGTTTTAGGAGTAGACGCCAGGGAAAATTCTCCCTGATCTAGGAGTTTGATTAGAATGATAGTGTCAAAGTGTTTTAGCATTTTATGGCTCCTCTTCCCGCCTTTGTTTGCTGTTCTCAAGAAGAAGTAAGAGAAGCCATATCTGCTCTCTCTTCTAGTCTTGTCTTTGTAGTGTAAGGATGTAGGAGATTTAGCTCCGTTGTTATTTTCATCCCAGTTACCTTTCCCCATGCTAGAATGTAGTAAAAACCTTCTATTTTAAATACACATGGACTCTGAGTCTGAATTATTTTGCTCTGGCACTGCTAAACTATTTTATCTCTGCTAAATACCAATTTTTTCTATATCTCTCTAACAAGAGAGAACCCAACAGAAACATATGACTTCCTGTGAGTAACAGAAACAAAAACATTTAACCCCAGATATACTGAGTGTTTTCAACTTGTAATACCCAACAAAAGGCTGAGGGACTTCTTGGGGATGTTGGGTCTGGAGAAGAGGAGGCTGAGGGGGGGGGGACATGATGGCTCTTTTGAAGTATCTGAAGGGCTGTCCCTTAGAGGAGGGCAGGGAGCGGTTCCTGTTGGCAGCAGAGGAGAGCACTCACAAGAATGGGTTTAAATTAAGGGCGGGAAGGTACCAGCTGGACATTAGGGGAAACTTTTCTTACAGCAAAAGTAGTTCAACAGTGGAATCAGCTGCACTGGGAGGTGGTGAGCTCCCCTTCCTCACTGGCAGCCTTTAAGCAGCGTCTGGATGAACACTTGTCAGGGATGCTCTAGTCCAGCGATGGCGAACCTTTTGGAGACCGAGTGCCCAAACTGCGACCCAAAACCCACTTATTTATCGCAAAGTGCCAACACGGCCATTTAACCTGAATACTGAGGTTTTACTTTAGAAAAAACAACCCATACATTAACTTAAGATGATCCAAACAAAGTAAGGAAAGCAATCCCAAAGGCTTTCATTTACTTAAAATTATTTGGCAGAGAATTCGACACTTTAATGATGGTCTGGGCCTGGCTGGGGCGATGGCATGCATGCCCACAGAGAGGGCTCTGAATGCCACCTCTGGCACCCGTGCCATAGGTTCGCCACCACTGCTCTAGGCTGATCCTGCACTGAGCAGGGGGTTGGACTAGATGGCCTTGCCTGGCACCTTCCAACTCTTGTGATTCTATGGAGTTTCTCCTCCATTATTTCCTCTGTCCATCATCTTCAAGGCCTCCTTGGAGGACTGGGGAGGTGCCACAAGATTGGGGGAGAGCGAATGTTATCCTAATCTTCAAGAAAGGGAAGAAGGATGACCCGGGGAAACTACAGGCCAGTCAGTCTGACTTCTGTTGCTGGGAAGATATTACAGCAGATTTTAAAGGGACTGATATGTAAGCATCCGAAGGACCACTTAGTGATCCGGGGAAGTCAGCATGGCTTTGTCCCCAACAGATCTTGTCAGACCAATCTGGTTTCCTTCTTTGATCGTGTAAGGAGCTTACTGGATCGTGGGAACTCTGTTGATGTGATTTACCTGGATTTCAGTAAAGCTTTTGATAAGGTTCCCCATGACATTCTGATGGGCAAACTGGAAGACTGTGAGCTGGACTATAGGACAGTTCGGTGGATAGGGAACTGGTTAGAGGACCACACCCAAAGAGCGGTGGTCAGTGGCGTTTCATCAGATTGGAGGGAATATTTCGAAATATTCGAAAGGCTGTCATTTGGAGGAGGGCAAGGAACTGTTCTAGTTGGCAGTGGAGGATAAGGCCCGAAGCAGGTTAGGCTGAAAGGGTGTGACTGGCCCATGGGAAAATGAGGATCTGGACCTTAAATCACCATATAGGATACTTTGACACAGCAGGCCCGAGAACTTGTGCTTAGCTTTTTGTGCACGCATGCATCCACCCCCACCCCCAACTGTTCTAGCTAATTTACAGGTTTCAGCCCTGAAGGAACTTATAAGTGGCTTTATGCCCAGGATAAATCCCAAAACAAGTGGAACAAAGTTTGCAACAATTATTCTTTGGGATGCCCATCATGCCTTTGGAGGGCACGAATCAGAAGGTGTAGCAGAGGTCATTTCGGGGGGGAACGCGGGGGAACGCAGTTCCCCCGGGTGAGGTGCCGGGGGGCGGGGCACATCACAAAGCCCCGCCCCTTGCTTCCAGCCACCCCGCTTCCAGCCCTCATTCAGCCAGGAGGAGGCAGGAGAAGAGGGAGGGTAAGCTGCTTCCTCCCTGCCTCTCCCCACCCCTGCCTGCCTGGGGCCAGGGAGGGCCTTCGCGGGGCTTCCTTGCACTCCCGCCGGCCTTGCAGGTCCACCACTGGGCCCCTCATGGGGCTCGGCAGTGGAGCTGCAAGGGTGGTGGTGGTGGCCGGGACCGAAGGGGGTGGGGTGTGTGGCTTTATGACACATTTCCTGTGATGTCAGGGGGTGTGGCCTTATGACACACTTCCGGTGATGGCAGGGGTGTGGCATATGCTAATGAGTTATGCCAATGAGTTCCCCTAGCTCTTTTTCTACGAAATGACCCCTGAGGTGTAGGAAAGTCATGTGGTGGCTTCTCTGTAAGCCGGCCACACCCTATAACCTCTGAACCTCTCACTGAAATCTGCTCTTCCTTTTTATGGCAAAGCTCTGGGTAAGCTTTGAAACGTAACCTTTCTTCCTAATGTCAGTTTAGGTAGACTAGGAACGACACGTCGGCTTCTGGAGGCTTGATTTCTATGTGATATGCTGGTGTTCTGTCTAATAATGTTTTTATTTAATCAGATCGAGAGTGAGTTATTTTTCAGTAAAAAATTGAATTATTAGATTTGGCCGTTCATTGGCTGGGAAACAGACTTTGAACTCAGAACAAACGAACAAACAGAACCTCAAGATCTCCCTTAGAGATTGACAGATGTGCCCTGCAAAGACTGGATGCTGAGGGCATTCAGCTGTCCGGCAGCATTGTGATTTAGTGGGTAATGGGCTGTTTGAATTCAAAGAGGTTTTAATTTCCATCGAGGTGGGCCCCCGCAGCCGCCACCCCAGAGTGGGGATTTGAACTCAGTTCCCAGTCCAACACTTGAACCACTACATCATGCCAGCTTTCCCAGCCTGCCTTCCCATGTCGGGCAGGGAGAGAATGATGTGTGTGTGTGTGTGTGTCCCAGTTCTGTCAATCACACAAATAGAGCTGCCCCTCACTCTCCATGTGTGTGAGGGAGACTTAGAGCCAGATTCCCCTCCGGCACAGAGTCAGCCCACCGCTTGAGTTGTGTCGGGAAAGCGGCACCATGCGAAAGGCTTCCGTGCACTCGTGCCGTGTGTCCCAGAGGGCTGTTGGAAGAGCCCCAGACGGACTGTCTGGGCCTTGTCTTTTTGCCCCCGTTTTAGGACAGTCTGGGGGATTTTAGGAGACCTCAGTGGCAAACGAGGCAGGGTGGGCCAGCTGCCGTGGACGGAAACTGGTCCACAAAGTGGTCTGCTTGACTACTAAATGGAATGTCCCCCGGCAAGGAGCCATTGGTGCGCATTAGATACTTGCACGTAAAATAACCTTCCAAGCTACAATTATTCTAAGCGTGCCCAAAACGCACCCCAACTCTGTTTCAATACTGATAGGATATTTAAGCCTCTTAGGCAAATTCTGCCAGTGCGGAAGCAAGTGTAAGTACACGGCTGGTTTCTTTTTTTTCTTGTATAGTGATATGGGTCTACCCAGGGCTTTACAGAGCAATGTCAGCCCAAGGGGGCGACGGAGGAAGGGGAAAGGGAGACTTTCCCACTTGCGTGTTAGACCCAGTTTAAGCTTCACATGGGAAAACAGGCGTAGAATGAAATCACCCTTTCCCAGGAGGCCGTGAAGGACTCTTTTCCGATACATCTCCCCCTTCCTTCCGTTGGCACCAGACCTCCTTGGCGTCTGACACGGATGGAGCTGCACCAGCGCCCGGCTCACCAAAGCGAGTACGGAGTGCTCGGAGGACCAGCCGGCCGGCCTTCCAGGGAATGTGGCACGCAGCTGCCTCTCTGCATTAGCTCTCCCGGCCTTTGGGGAATTGGGGGGCTTAACAGATTGCCTCTGGCTAAAGGCACAAAGCAATAAATCCCAGTTTGACTTTTGCCTTAGATCCGAATCCTCTTTCTGGTGTGGTGCTTTGCCCATCTGTGTGGAACTGTGCGTTTTCGTGTGCCGAATGTCTTTCTCCGGAGGCTGCCCTGAAAGCCAAGCATTTCCCTGGGGGGTTACAGGCCAGGGGCAGAGGACAAGAAGCGGCAGGAGCCCCTCTGGATGCTTCAGGCATTCCAAATGCTCTTCAGCATATATCTTCTTTCTTCCCCCCCCCCAATGTGTCACTCACAGGAGGAGAATCACCCTTCGATGCAAGAACTCGTCCGGCAGGTGGTGGACGGTGAGCTGGCTCTGCTCGAGAGGCCAAAGACCTACCTCAAGCGATTCTACAAGCAAACCGTCTACAAAAATTTGCTAGAGAAAAGCGTCCTCACTTATCTGAACTATAACAATTACCACCTGCCAATGTTTGCCTGGCCTGGGATTGTCTAGCCGTGGCCGGCTAAATGCAGCTCTCGTTTTTGCTCCTTGAAACTCTAGCGGAGTTTGACTAATTCCCCCCCCCCTTTATTATTATAATAAGTCCATTGGGGAGGTAATTTTCACAGCTGTCCAGGGAAAGAAGATGGGATCTTTATTTCCACAGCCCAGCAGGTGGAGCAGAGTGCCGGTTTCATCATTCAGCCAAGATAGCGTTCAAAACAAAGAAGGAAGCAGTGGCCGGGCAAATTCCTACAGATTGCAAAATGTTCTCAAAACACATCATTAAAGCTCTCTTTGCAAAACGGGGGCCGCCTTCACTCGGAGTGATCTGGCCCGCCCCTTCCCATACCGTTCCAGTGATGCCGCAGCAGCAAGGCTTCTGAGCCCTGCCGCCTCAAAACCCCCGTGGCTGCCGGGGCTCTTCTGCGCCAGGGACGCCCTCCCAAGTAGGAACCGTGACAGATGGCAGCTGAGATTTGCATTTTGCATTTTAGCTTTTTAAATTGTTCATTCCAAATGCGAACTTTGAATCTCTCTGTCTTCCTGGACAGAAGGTACATTGTACTGGGGGAGGTCAATTCTCTAATGTGCTGGCGAGTGACCCAGCAGCTGTGGGGTTAACTCCCCTGCTAGAGGCATCTCAGCAGCCAATTACAACTGGGCCTGCCTGGTGCTCTTCATGTCTGTATCAGCCAGTAAGGAAGGGGGGAAAATCCAGAGGCGGGAAAGTAAAGAGTTATTGAATGAATGAAACCTGGGACACTTCCCTTGCTAAGAACATGAGAAGAGCCCTGCTGGATCAGGCCAGTGGTCTAGCTAGTCCACCATCCTGTCTGACACAGTGGGCAAAACACCAGAGTACAGAGGCTGAGCTGAGGCCTTCCTGTTGGGTTTCTTTTTAAGTTAGTCAGCAGAGTATTAAGAGGCTGAGTCCATGGTGTGTTTTAAAATATAAAAGTTTACTATAAACCTAACATGGGAAAAAGGTACACAGGATATGAAAATAACAAAGAGCTTATATGCCTACATCCTCGCAGCTAAAAGGTAAAACGGGAAGAGCCGAAATGGCGTCTCCTTCCCTGGTCAGAACAAAGAACACACAGACGGGAAGAGAAATCATAAAATGCTAATACTTGACACCTTGGTTTCCAATCAGAGTAGCAAACTACCTCCAAAGTTCCCGGGCATCCTATTGTCTAAACAAATTGGTTACAAACAAACATGTGACTTAACAAACATCATTAACCCTGAAAATACTGAAGTGTTTTTAACTTGTAACACCCAACACCCCTTCACACCCAACACTTCCCCTGGTGTTGCCTCCTGACCAATGTTCCCTCTAAGCTGTGGAGTCCTGTGAGCAAAAATTCTACTTGGTGAGCTACTGGCATTAAAGTTGTGAGTGAGCGATTTGGCTACTGCACGAATTAGTTTGCTCTAGAGCCATCCCTTCTTTAGCCGAGACAAAAATCTGTGAGCTCACACTCAGCTTAGAGGGAACACTGCTCCTGACATATTTATTCTGAGGTTCACTGCCTCTGAATGTGGAGGGTCCCTTTATTCACCACGGCTAGTGGCCACTGATGGATGTGAGCATCAGGTCTGTGAGCAGGTGTGGGATGCTGCCCTAAGTCAACCACTTTAAAAATGAACTTAGAATAGTATCAAGGAAGGCGGTGGAAGGGTGACTTTCAGAAATGCTCCAAATAGAAACCTGCCGGGGCTCAGGCCTGCAAGGGTGTTCTGTCAGTTTTCCCAGGAAAAGACTTTTGCTCCTGAATTTTAAGTAGATGCAGGTGGGGTAGCCTGAAGTGGCAGAACAAAGTCTGAGTCCAGGGGCACCTCGAAGACCCACAAAGTGTAACTGGGGGTGTGAGCTTCCGTTGGCAGGCCCTGAATAAAACTCTGTTGGTCTTCAAGGTGCCACTGGGACTGGACTCAGACTTTGAATGACGAGTGTGGCAACAGGCAGCGGAAGAGGGAGCAGCAGAGGTTTGGGTTCAACGTGGGTGGAACGAGCTCCCGGAGATCAGGGCCCTGCGGGACCTTATGCAGTTCCGCAGGCCTGTAAGACGGAGCTCTTCCGCCAGGCTTTCACATAGGGGCCGCCGCTGCCACCGCCACCAATGAGGTGGACAACATCGGGGTAAGGATGGCCCAGTAAGATCTGCCACAATTTCTGCGTGGCCACTGGATTTACCTGGTTGAGCTACAGGATAACATCACCCTGGAGACCATCTTGTTAAACTGAGTATAATTTTATTAACTGTCATGATTGTTTTATTGCTTTTATCTGTTTTATATGGGCTTTGCCCCTTGTAAGCCGCCCTGAGCCCGCTCTGCGGGGAGGGCGGGGTATAAATCTCAATAAATAAACTCAGCCGGGGCTGGCGCAGACCCTGAAAGGGGTGCCTGTTCCTCCCCGTGCCGCCAGTCAGCCGAACTCCTGCAGAGCGCCCAAGATACGCTCCTTGCTGGGCTGCACCAAGGGCTCATTTGGGGTGGCTTGGCTGGACAACCGGCCATGGTTCTGCAGGCCGAGGAACCGGGGGCTCTGCCGCATCTCGTTTTCGGCATCAGTTTCAAGCCGGGGTCCTTTACCGGGGCCGTTTCCCCCTCCCCATTCGCCCCTGGTGTGGAGAATCGGGCATCTGCAACCAGTGTTCCCTCTAAGCTGAGTTAGCGTGAGCCTAGCTCACAGTTTTTACCCTTCAGCTCACATATTTTTGCCTTCGCTCAGGAAGGGAGGGCTACAGAGCAAGCTAATTTATGCAGTAGCCAAGTCACTCGCTCACAACTTTGATGCCAGCCGCTCACAAAGTAGAATTTTTGCTCACAGGACTCCACAGCTTAGAGGGAACGTTGTCTGCAACCTGGGCTGAGGCCAGGGACAGAGCAAGCCCCCAAAGCAGCCCTGGAGTGGGCCAGGCCCAGCGGTACCCGCTGTCTTGCCGGGGCCCTCCAGCCCAGCCTGCTCATTCCAGGGGGGCAGCCCCCCAGAAGCTTTCTTGGCCAGCGGAAGAGGGGCCCTTGGCTCAGGAGCAGTGTTCCCTCTAAGCTGAGTGAGTGTGAGCTAGCTCAGTGTTTTTTAGCCTCCAGCTCACACATTTTTGTCTTCGCATAGGAAGGGACGGCTCCAGAGCAAACTAATTTATGCAGCAGCCAAATCCCTTGCTCACAACTTTCATGCCAGTAGCTCACAAAGTAGAATTTTTGCTCACAAGACTCCATGGCTTAGAGGGAACATTGCTCAGGAGGTGCCAGGGAAGGACGGCACTGGGCCCCACTTCCAAAGGCGGCCGCTTTCCCCGGCCTCCCGCTCAGCTGGCCAGGCCCTGATCTCCTCCTCCTCCTCCCCGCTGCCAGCAGGGGACGGAGTGCCACAGAGCGCGTGCCAGCCCGGAGCGGTTGGTGTCCCCTCTCCAGCTTGGGCGGCTGCAACCTTCTCCCACCAGGCAGCTGCCTCTGCAAAAAGCGGAAACGAAAATACTCCTCTTGGCCTTGGGGGGGGGGGGAGCAAAGCCTTTCGGAGGAGTTTTGTTCTGTATTGTTGGGTCCCTGGCAGGGCGGGTGAATGGCCGCGGGCGCTGCAGGCCCATCAGGCTCCTTTTCTTTCTTTCTTCCCGGTCTTAATCTCCGCACTAATAAGGCCGGATCGGGAGGCGGCGTGGAAGCAGCCGATCAATATTCAGACGGGCCTGTGCGTGGGGTGGGGGGGGGGCGGCGAGAGAGAGCTGCCAGCGGGCGCAGTCAGGCGTGAGGCGCTGTGGATTGTTGTTCTGGTCGAGAGGGGTCGGAGGGAGCCTGCCTCGCCC